ATTAAAGATAGTATTGTAGATAGGTGAATTAATGAGGCATCTTGTAGGCAGTTAGACAGGGCCGTCCTCAAGGTGCCAACCTTCAAGGTGCAAGTCCTCAAGGAGCCAACACAGCAAGGAGCCAACGAGGAAAATAATTAAGGCACATTCCCTGGTGAGTATTATAAAAAAGAAAAGAGGTTGTATTTCCCCCTGAGCAATAGATAGCAATGACTGATACTCTAAATGGGAAATTCCTTATACGTAATTTGTTTTCCCATTTGATCTCCATTTAATTGATATTTCCTGGGTGACTGTACCTGTAATCTTGCTGGTTGGTCATGGTTTTGTCCCACCTCACGTCCACCTTGTAGTTTTCTGTTGTGTCTTATTGTTTTGTCCCGCTTTGTATCCACCTCGCCTCATGGCTTTGCCATATAAAACACCTTTGAAAAGCAGGGTGGGCGGGCAACCCGCTTTTCAGTGGCCCTTCTCTCTCTTGGACAGAAGCTTCCTTTCTCTCAATAAATTTTTCCTCTTCTTAATCTCTGTTGTTCCTAGAGTTCATTCTTCAGTTTTAGAGCACACAAACTCACATTTTGGATATTTAGCTGGTTTGGGAATTATATCTATTTCCCCTACATCAACAGCATTTAGTAGGAGTTAGTAGTAGAGCAGTTGGTGGGCTTATCAGGTTTCTGCAGCATAACTCAGAAGTCTGAAATAGTTCCATAGTTTTGTTTGGTTGATCTAAGGTTGGAGGTTAGTTAGAGAGGAAGCATAGGGATGAAAAGAGAGAGATAAGGAAGCGTGTTGAAGATATGGTCAACGTAGTTAAGCATGGTGTCCACACTGTGGGGAAGGAATTAACACGATGGGCTGCGACCATCAGAAGTGATTAAGCAGCTGTAGAACGCCATGAGATAAAGAAAGCAATGCAAGGGTGTGAGCAAATGGGAGCACTGGGAGTAGAGTGAGAGACACAAGATTTCCAAAGTCAGGGGTGTTTCTGTTCGAGAAGGCTGCCGATGTGGAGGGAGGCTGGGTTCACTGGAGTATAGATTAGAGCAATGGATAAATTGCCAGCTCAGACCAGGCCGGTAGCCCAGTCAGGATGAATAGCCAGCTAGAGAGCCATCTGGGGAGTCCTCTCTGATCGCAGGACCACAGGGAGGGGATACCCTGGAAGCTGTGTGTGATGGCCATAGGACAAGGGAGTACAGATGGAATGCTGTGAGTTTTAAAGTGAGAGGGACTCTTGAATGATATTCTAGAATGTTGATTTGGATCTGGCAACGAGCAATGGGTAAAATGCTGCGGAGAGCTGAGGGGAATGCAAGATGTGCACGGAGATGGAAGGACTAGCAGGGATGGCGAAACTTTCAGAGCTTTCAATGATAACCAACAGCCTGCTGTAGCACGTGCGCCATAGGTTTACCGCCATTGAACTGGAGAGACCAGGTGGCCGGGGAGCTCGAACACTGCTTAGAATTGCAGAGGGACCCAATCAGCGTCACACCTCCAAAAGTAATGCACCGGCTCCAGGGCCTAGAATACAACAGGTGCTAAAGAAATCAATGTTTAAAATAATTACCGTCTTTTGCTTTTAGAGGGTGTTTTCTCATCTTTATATTCACCTTCCGTAGCTTAGTCTCAAAACTTGCAAAGAGCTTCAGGTCTGCTCCTGTGATAAATCCCCAGTAGGTTGTTCAGTGCAGCTCAACTTCATTGTCAGTCTGCTTCCTTTGTTCCAGAAATCGCTTCTCATAAAACTTTTAAATTTCATTTTCTGAGTTAGAGAGACAGAGACATACATTTTTGCATTGTTGTCCTAAGTAAATAATAATAACAATAATTGGTTTTTTTGTGGGAAACATATATAATTATCTCAATGATTCCTTTCTCAAAAATCCCAGGAAGTACACAGATGGCTATGAATTTACTCAATTTTGCACATAAGCGGTTTAGACAAATCCCATGACTTCCCACAGCCTCCCAGCTTTCCACAGCCAGAAGCTAGGAGAGCCAGGCAGGAGCCTGTGCACTTCAAGTGTAAATCATCAGCTCTGGGACAGTGGCTCCTGCGACTTTACATGAGTTTGTTTCCAATGCAGATGTATGCGCTGGGTATGGGGCAGGGTTTGGAACCTGCGTTTGAAGCACTTATCTGATGCTCATGTTTTAATGACCATACTCAGAAAAATACAAGAAAATGCTTTTTTCCTTCTCTCCTAAAGGAAAAACAAAAACAAATGACTGATCTTACCTCCTACTAATCAAAAGATTTGGGGGGATTAAAGCCCCCCAGCTCATCTCTCCAGTGACCTAGCCACCCACACTGATAAAGTTAATTATCTGCCCTGGCTAAATGACTTTCCCTAGCAACACCCTAGCAACTGACACCAGCTCTGCCTTAGGCTGCAAAACTGGAAAGAGATTTCTTGAAGTCCGGTATATTTTACAACAGAACCAAACATCTGAACAGGAAATTAAACAGAAAATAAACTAGATTGATTGTGAGGAGATGAGACACAAACACATGAAAGGGTTCATGACAATCCAGTGGAGCACAATCGTCAAAATAAGAAACTTTTTCTCCTTGTGAGTTTCATGAGTTCTGTTGAAGTCCAGGGAGGAGATTTTTTTTTTCTTTTTTGGTATGGGGATCAAACTCATGACCTTGTGCTTTTGAGGCAAATGGGGTACCACTGAGCTCAATCCCTGGCCCAGGGAGGAAAATTTAAACAGGTGGAAGGACAGGCATTCCAGATAACAGGAAATGTGCTGATACTTACTACACCCAAAGCAGAGGACACTGGGAATCTGGCTGGCAGTACTGGGAGCATGGACTGGGATCTCTGACCAGATGGATACAAAGAGACGAAATTATGTGGAGGGCCTTGAAGGCCAACTTGAAAACTCAGGCTGAGCCAGGCAACACTGGGGATAGAACTGTTAAAGATCTTGGGTTAGATATGTGCAGATCTTTAGTTCTAGGCCAGGTACTACACTTTCCAAATGCATATATAAGTATAAATTTGAGACTATTAAAAGAAAAGGTTCCCAGTTCCCAGATAGTGTTAGGGGCAGGGTTTATTCTAGGAAACCAGAAGGGCCTCTCAGAGGAAGCAGCTTTGCACTGAGTTCTGATTGGTGTATAGAAGTTAGCTAGTGGACAGCGAGCATCAGGAGGGACACAGAGCAATGCAGGATCCCGTGCAATATAGGAGCACAGGCAAAAGCTCTCTAAACTGGCCAGGCGTGGCTCATACTTGTAATCCCTGCAATCAGGAGGCTGAGGGAGGAGGGTTGCCACGAGTTTGAGACCAGCCTAGGCTACATAGTGAATTCAAGTCCAGCCTGGACAGCATAGCGAGACTCTTTCTGAAAAGAAAAACAAAATTCCCAAGCTGAAGAAGAGCTGTGGATGGCTGGAACCCATAAGAAAAAAACTGTCTGGCCTCATGCAGGGACTTGAAGGTCACTTTAAAGATTCTGTCTTTATTCTGAGAGCCCTGAAAGATCCTGGGAAAGAATCTTAACCCCCCCCCATTGACATTCAAATCTGCCTTATAAAGAAGATCACTTGGGTCCCCAGGCCAAGGACAGATCAGAGGGGTGGAGGGGGCAGAGCAATCAGGAGCTGAGAGAGGATGGCAGCTTGGCGGGTAAGTGGCAGAGGAAGAGGGGAAGCAGACAGATTCAAGAGGTGGTTGGGAGGTGAGACTGATGCTGGTGATGGATTGGATGTGCGGGGGAGAGGGAGAGGTTCAGAGGTGACAGCCAAGCGGGGTTAAGAAAATCAAGTTTGTATCGTGGGATTGGAGCTTGGGGGGGTGTGGTTTAGAGCCTGCTGTCAGGGCTGGATGAAGGGGCCAACGCTGGGTAATGGTGGTGGAAGCACCCCATTTTGTGCTGGCAAGGCCTGTTTTAAGTCCTAGCCCTTTCCGTCACTGGCATGGCACATTGTCTAGACCGATAATTTACAAGTGCCCAATCTGGGGAAGGGGTGGTGACAGTCCTCACGTGGTTTTCTTGTCAGTACCGACAAAAGACTAAATATAGCCAGACAGGGTGGCACCCACCTGTAATCCCAATATTCCAGGAGGCTGAGGCAGGAGGATCATAAGTTCACACCCAACCGGGGCAACTTAGTGAAACTTGTCTGAAAAAATAAAAAATAAAAAAAGGGCTGGAGCTGGAGCTCAGTGGAAAGGCCCTGGGTTCATTCCCTTGTACTGCACCACCACCACCACCAACAACAAAGATAAATATTACTACGTTCTTGCATGTTCAATGCCCGCCTACCTCCAGTTTAAATTTGAACAGGTTGGTGCAAATGCAGATGTTTGAAGCACATTTTTTGGCCATATCATACATACAATAAGCTCCATGAAGAGAAGGGTTACATTTTATTTATCTCTGTAATTACCTACTTTCTGAGATATGATCAGGCATACTTTCTTGAACCACTTGTTTTCATTTGTAGCATATACCATGATTATAATTTGAAAATACTCATGTAATTATGCATTTAATATTTACCTCTGCCACAGGACCATAAGGCAAGTAATTAACATGTCTATTTATCATCCCAGCACTGAGTACACAAAGAACTCTCACCATGAATGAGTAAGTGAATGAATGAATTGTGTTTCCTCTTGTGCCTGCTACAGCTACTTAGTACAGAGCCTGGCTCCAAATCCACACGCAACAGAAGCTTGCTGGATGAAAGGACTGTGCACCATGGTGCCAGGCACAAGCTCTAAACCAGCTGGGTGAAGACGGGCCACTCCCTGGGATTGCACCACGGCCCATGCTGTCCCTTCTGTGAAGAGTTGCTTGTCAGGCATGCAGGGGTCTTCTGCTGAGTGAATGCTCAGGCTTTCTCTAAGCAAAGAGTGTCCAGGTGACCCCTGGAAGAAGGTTCTCCATTAACAGTAGAGGCGCAGCCCAAGGACTAAGGAGAAGGTGTGCAGGTGGAGGACGAAGACACTCAGGACACCGGCTCCTGCAGGCTGTGGTAGTGACCTGAAAGAGAACGACCCCAATGGAAAGCAGAGATCTCTTGTTTAAAAAAGACTGCACTCCAGGTATGTTGAAGGCCTGGGGAAGGGTGAGGAAAGCAAAGCAGTGAGAGCAGCCAGAGACCTGGAGAGGGATACATGTAGGAAATTATGGGAGACGGGCTGACCCATGGACCCAAGGAGCCCCAGAGACCAAGGCAATAGGCCTTTAATGAGGCCTTTAATGAATGCTAGTGCCCGCCCCCCAGGAAGGGTGTATTAGCACCTACTCCCTCCCCTGCTCCTCCCAGTGGGTGCCCAGTCTCAGGCCGGGCTAAAGGCAAGACTAAGACCAGACTAGGGTCCTGGTTCTGGTCCCGGGAAGACACTAGGAGAGATTCCTGCCTGGGGTCTCCTCCTTTTCAGCCTTCAGCTTCCTGCAAGCCCCAGCAGCTCCCCCAGATCAGTCTCTAGACACGGAGATCACGTACTGAAGTCTGAGCCGAGATGACATGCTCTTTGCCCCTTTCAAAACTCCTTTCGAGGGCTGTGTGAGGACTTTGGTGGGCACTTTTGTCTCCATGGGCTTTTTGCTTCACAAGACAAAACACCATGTTCTATAACTGTGTGAGTAGAGGGCGAATATATTAATGTTATATTGCAAAACATTTTGTTCATCCCCAACCTCTCCCCACACGCACCTTCTGCTTTAAATAAAACATTTCCCTAGGTCTGCACAAGTCCTGCCGTCCTAGGCACAGAGCCTGCTGGGCCCCGGAGGGTAACTCCTTTGGCTCCTTTCATCCTGCAGTGAGACCTGTCCCAGTCCGGCCAGGGGAAGAGTAATGGGGCCAGCGGGTCACAACACCTAACTGTCTGGGCGTCTACAGAATGAGCGAGAGTCGTGAACCGCTTCTGCGTGAAGTCAGCGTGGGCACTCAGGGTAGGTGTGCAGCAAAAGTCAGTTAGCAGGCTTTCCCTCCTCCAGCCCTGTGGTTCACAGGGTCCAGGGCACATGCGGGGGTTGAGACAGCGGCCTCCTAGGTGGTGGGACAGAGCCCGCAGGGTCCCCCTATCCTATGATTCCCCCGCCAGACCCTGGGAATCCAGCGTCGCAAAATAAACACCGCCGCGCCGCTAATCGCCAGCTCGGGATCTGTGCAGACCCAGCCCTCCCTCCTCCCGCGCCTTCGCCGCC